GAAATTTTTACCTACTCATTATAGGCAGGAGGCATTTATTGAGTATCACAACATTAAGCAGCGAGATTTAACGGTTGAGCAGTATACCGAGGAGTTTGATCGTTTGCGTATGCGTTGTGATGTGGCTGAGGAAGACGAGCAAACAATTGCTCGATATTTGGCAGGCTTGCGGTATGAAATTTCTGATGTTGTCCAATTACAGTAATATTGGACCTATGAGGATGTGTGCAGGTTGGCCTTGAAGGTGGAAGGTCAGTGTAAAAGGAAGAACGTGAATTCCAAATTTCAGAATCGTTGGTCAGGCAAAGAATCCCGAGAAAAAGCGGGAACATCTGCAGCAAATTCGACACCAGTCGCAGTTAAGGATACGAGTTCTAAACCTGCATCCAAGGAGGGGCAGAGTAGTGCTGGAACTAGCAGGGGAGGAACTGCAGCCAAGCGGTGTTTCAAGTGTCGGGGATTCGGGCATTTTGTCTGCGATTGTCCGAACCGAACGGATTGTGACGCTTGTAGATAATTCGATCTTTGATGAAGGTCCAGTTTATGATGAATCGAAGGCGAAGAAGAGGATGCGGATGCGGAACAGGGAAGAGATTATCTATGCTTGATTCTGGTGAGTCCCTAGTCGTTAGAAGAATATTAAATGTTCTTTGTAGCGGATGATGAATCATGGCTTAGACATAATATTTTTCATACTAAGTGCACTAGTAGAGAAAAAGTATGCAGCATGATAATAGATGGTGGGAGTTGCGAGAATGTAGTGTCCACGACTATGGTGGCAAAGTTAGGGTTAAAAACAGAATATCATCCTCAACCATGCAAGATGTCGTGGCTTAGAAAAGGGAACGAGGTGAAGGTGAGCAAAAGGTGTCTTGTGCAATTTTCGATTAGAAAAAATTACATCGATGAGGTGTGGTGTGAAGTAGTCCCAATAGATGCTTGCCATATTTTATTGGGGAGGCCGTGGCAGTTTGACAGAAAGACACAGCATGATGGTTTCAGAAATACTTATACCTTCAAGAAGGATGGCCGAACAATTATCATAGGTCCTTCAGATTTGAGAAAAGAAGGGAAAAGTAATCTGCTTTCCAAATCAAAATTTCAAGAAGAGGCAGTGAACGCGCCTGAGCTTTTTGCCATTGTGGTGATGGAGCGGAATTCTGACAGTCCCGAAATTCCTACCCAAGTTCTGCCCTTGCTTGAGGAGTTTGCTGATGTCATACCGGAAGAGTTGCCGCCTGGGTTGCCAGGTGAGCACAATGTTTCTGGAACTTTTAATGTAGCAGATTTGTCACCTTACTACACTGAAGAGGAAGAAGACCTTGAAGAGATTGATGACAATGAAGACGAAGCAGATTCGAGGACGAATCTTTATCTAGCAGGGGAGGATGATGCACCTAGGGGACCGGCGGACCCGTTATGCGATTGGACGAACCGGCGGGCTTGAAGTCAACAATGTCGGATTGAGCTCAAATTTGGTCGGCTGAAGCGAAATGGCATGCTGATCAATACTCATAGCCTTTGGCTATGATTAACGACGGATTTTCGCGATTCGAGGTTGTTTAAATAGTTTTTTTTAATTATTTTAGTAATTTTCGAATTAAGGGTATTTTTGTATTTTTTGCGTTTTTTTTTGTCATTAGGGTTAACACCCTTTATAAACTCGTTTTTAGGGTTTTGAGAGCCAGTAGTTTTTGGATGTTTTGAAAACTTATCGATTGTTAATCGATTGAGAGAACAATTTGTTCCTTGTTATCGTTTCGATTTTTCTGTTTAGCCTAATTTCTATCGCGCTTCGGCATCAAAAACTCATTTGTTCTACTTCTCCACACTAGCTATAAATCGATTAATGTGTTTAACTATTGATTGTTCATCTTTGTCGGTAAAAAATGAAAAATTCAGGATTTCAAAACCTCTTGGAAAATGCTGGTTATTGACTCATTCATCATGTGGTTTTTTCCTAGAAACATGTATGATATCACCCCTATCTAACTCCAATTGTTGTTGAACTTCTTCGACAAATTGTGCTATGTTCAACTATAATTTTGGTTGGCCATTTTGCTCCCTAGACATTAAACGCTTGTCTTGCCAGATTATAAATGTTAATCGGCATGTTAGGCCCAATATGAATATTCACATTGTGTGGAACTGGCCTTGCATCTTCAATATCTGGCAATTGACTAGTGTAGACTAGTTTAATTTGCAAAATTGTTGTCACCGGTTATTTTGACCAACATCGGTCCGATTATTCTCGGTATTGTGACATTGATTGGAAGATTTTGGCCTTAATTCTTATAGGGGGTTGATTACTCTAACCAATATTATTGGCATCAATAAATGAAGAGGGACTAGGAACATGCCCTGTTATTACTGTATTAGATAGTGGTTGTTGATTGAATGATCCTGGCCTCGAGAAAACATCATTCATAGCATTGATGATGATTGGCTTGATCAGGTTTAAACAATCTCTTCATTGTGGCTACATATGAGGATCTAGTGCAACTTTTTGTTGTTCTTTAGTGGGACATCCAGAAAGGTCTGCCCCTCGCGTTGGCCTTCTTATGCTGCTTCGTTAACGACCGAAGATTCGGAGTACATCTGTCAACTGTCACGTGTCATCCAACTCAACAATTTGACGGTAAAAATTTAACGAAATTAACGGGAGTAAATTTGTTACAGGTATACCAGTTTGAAATTTTTAGTGATCAGAAAATTAGCTTTGGGTTAAATTTATCACATGTGTATCAGTTTGGAGTTTTTTGTGATATTAACCCATAACGTTAATATATAATAAAGTAGAACAAAGGAAAAACACAAGCCATATTTGTCAAAATTAATATATTGCCTCATTATTAAGCTCCAGGAAGGACCCCGTGAGTTATGCATAAAATTAAACATGCGATTAACCTAGCTATGGAATTTAATTTCCTAGATTAGATGAAAAAAATGAAGTTTTGAACCAAATAAAGACTAGACAAACATGAATTAACTAAGTCCTAAATATGTGATTCTATACTCCATTTATTTTGCGAAAAATATTTTCCGCTGTTTGGCCCAAGGAAAATAAATGGATCAAAGAAAACAATTTCCGTCAACAGGAAAAAGTCCTTTCAAATAAGGGAAAATGACTTTGCTTTTTAAAAAACGAAAATAATTTTCCCACTTTCTGAGACAAAGCCCTAGCTCCATTCCTCTCGTTCCACGCCTCCTCTTTCCTCCTCTTTGCCTTCTCGCTTATCTCTCTCTGCCTCCTGAGCTCCTCCTCCTTGTTGTCTCGTGGTTCTCTTCAGTGATCTCCTCAGCTCGAGAGGTGTCCATATGGACGAGGTGAAACCCTGGCTCGGTATTAAGGGTGGAGTCAATGGCGTGGTTGATGGAGCCGAGGTAGAGGACGAGCTAATAGGGGTGGAGGCAGCGCTGGGTGGTGCGAGGGAGAAAGGTGAGGGAATGGCGGAGGACGGCGGAGGTGATGGTGCAGTTGGAGGAGGTGAGGCGGCTGAGGGGGACGAGCTCGACAGAGGAGACAACAATGAGGGAGGACTGCTCGAGTCCTCCATGCAGTTGAGGGTGACGACGAGGGGGACGGCTTGTGAGGCACCACTACAAGGGAAGATCTGGTCACTGTTGCGGTGGTGGTGGTTGGCAGGGGCAAGTGAAATTAGGGTTTAGTGCTTGAGTAGTTGGGGCATTTGTCAAGTCGACGAAGATGGTGGTGGTGGTAGTTATTCATATCTGGTTTGACGCAAAAGCATTCGGATGCGGAGAGTGTGGGCGTGGAGCTGCTTTTGACGCAAAAGCGTTCGCAAAAAAATAAATATAATCCTTCAATTATATATGTACATTTTATACATGGGCATGAGCTCTCAACTGGACAATAGAATTTGGTTTTTTTAGGAAAAAAATGTTTTCCTTTCCAAACGACAAAAAATATTTTCTTTTTCATTTTCAGGTCTCAACCAAACATAAAAAACACATGGTCATTTTCTTGAAATTTTTTTTCCAAAAATATAACATTTTCCGCGAAACAAACGGAGCCTCATTTCCGGCGTTTGGTTTGCTTATGCTCTGTCTGTTTCGTGGAAAACATTATCCTCATTTTTTGGCGTTTGGATCGCTTAGGAAAACGAGTCAACGGAAAATGTTTTCCTAGTCGATGAAACACCTATGCTTAGATTCAAGAAAATGATTTCCTTTTTATAAAATCGAAAATCATTTTCTAAGATATGACTAAATATGGACGCTTGGATCTGAAACTCTACGTTTGGGCATGGAAACCTCAACGCTGGTTCCCAGCGTCCAAGACTAGTTTTTCAAGGCTCGGGCCCAGGTCCATCAAGGCCTTGCCTAGGATCTTGGTGCCTAGGTTCGAATCCCTAGTGCCTGTGCCTAGGTCCATTAAGGCCAAGCCCGGGGTCCATCAAGGGAGGACCTGATGCCTTGATACCCGAGCTTGCGCCCATAAAGGCCAAGCATGGGATCCCATTACCTGAGCTTGGATCCCCAATACTTGGGCCAAGGTCCACAAAGGCCGTGCTTGGTCCATCGAGGTCAGGCTCGAGGCCCCAGTGCCCACGCTTAGGTCCATTGAGCCCACACTCAGGACCCACGTGTCTATGCCTCGATCCTCGGCACCCGGATCGGGGTCTATTTAGGCCAAACCCGAGACTCTAGTGTCCGTACCCAGTTCTCCCGATGGCTATGCGCAAGTAATTAACGCCCGAATAGTAGATGCCTATTAGGAAAATCAAAACAGATTTTCCATACCAAACGACAAAATATTTTTCAGTTTATTTTTAGGTTTAAGTCAAATATCGAAAAATATTATCATTTTCCAAGAAAATGACTTCCTCGAACACATTTGCTAGAAATGTTATATTTTTTGTGAAACTAACGCAGCCTTAATTAAATGCAACTCTATTTTTTTTATTACTGTTAATTTTTCCATCGTAACAACAATGACTTAAATATAAATCAAGACAAAATGTAATGCCCCTAAAAGTGAAGATAATGCTGGAAATTTTTTTTTTCCTTTCAAAGAGCCTGTTACAAACTAAGTCGGTCTCTTATAATTGATATTGAATAACCCCAACTCGAGTCATTACCCTCTTGCAGAGACGAACTTTCACATGGACAAGCTGCGAGCGATCTTGAGGGTGATGACAGCAATGGTTTGGGAGGAAATTGCAAGGTGTCAACACTTCCTTTTAGCATCTCCACAACTTGGGTCATACATGGTCGAGCTCTCGGATCGATTTGAATGCACCATAAACCAATTACAATCATCTTCTTTGCAATTGCTTCGTCCTCCTCATTTGTGATTCCGTGCAGCCCAAGCTCTTGTCGGAGCTCCAGCCGTCGGTGGACCCAATGAGGGAAGTAAGTTTCGCTGGTACGATCTACCGCGACTTCAATGTTTTTCCTCCTGCCGACCATCTCCAAAACCATCATACCGTAGCTATAGACATCCGATTTGTGAGAAACCCCTCCAATGTTCCTCATGAACAGCTCCGGAGCAATGTATCCAGGGGTACCCCGGGCACCTAGCATTGACACAATGCTCTCTTGTCTCGAGCATATTTTGGCAAGACCAAAGTCAGAAATCTTGGGACAATAGTTTGCATCGAGGAGAATGTTGTGAGGCTTTATGTCAAAGTGCAAGATCCTCGTGTTGCAGCCTCTATGCAAGTACTCTAGCCCGTGAGCTATGCCAAGGGAAATCTGGTACAATGTGTCCCAACTCAATTGCCGATCTACCTCCAAAGTGTTACTCCTGTTGAATATGAACTTCTCGAGTGATCCGTTGGGCATGAACTCATAAACCAAAGCTCTTTTGCTTCCCTCAAAACAGAACCCCAAAAGGCTAACAACATTGACATGAGAAGTCCTGCTTATGCTCGCAACTTCATTGAAAAATTCTTCTGCATCGCCTTTCAGTTTCTTTAGAATCTTCACCGCCACCAGTTGACTGTCTCCAAGCTTGCCTTTGTACACGCAGCCATAGCCTCCCTGGCCTAACTTTTCTTCGAAAGAGTTGGTCATCCTCTTGATGTCTTTGTAGGTGTATCTTCTCGAAGAGACGAGTCCCTCGATTTTCATTTCGCCATCGAAATGTACGCTCCTCTGCTTTATCAAAGCTCGCATTAAGATAAGGGTGACCACAATTCCAGCTCCTAATGCCGCCATTCCTAATAAAACGAAGAATATTTTTGAACAGCAATCTCACTTCATCACTTCATCAAGGCTTCTAAGATTATATTGGAAACATTATTCCATTGGGCAATTAGGGAAGAGGAGACATTATTCCATTGGGCAATGAGGGAAGCATACTGTCAAAAGGTCAGAACAAATTGCAGAGGAGAGTGTAGAGAAGTGGAAGAGAGTCTTGAAATAATTACCTATTCCAACTTTGAGACCCATCTTTTTGTTTCCTGAGACAGTAGTCATCAAAAGTGAAAAATGTGTCAACGAATTGCAAACAGATGAAGTGTCAAAGAGATATAAAGATGAGGGCTCATCATGAGGTTATAGCACATTCAGTTTCAAGAAAGAAAAAACACCACGATAGAGTGAAAATATTACAATTTCACCAGTTTGGCTCGATCCTCCTCTTGAACTTTTTTCATGAATCAATTAGTGACATCTTTCCAGAGAAATTGGAAACACATGCAAATGGATCTGTGGCTGATTCACTGACGAGGATAGAAATTAGCTAAAATCCTGAATTCTAGAGCTATCATGGAATCCACTGGAAGACAGGAAATAAAAATTTCTAGCTGCTATAGAAGTGGCTCTACAATATGATCAACGATGTGATATAAGAGGCGAAGACAGATATAAACTTTCTGTGGGACTTATTGAATGGGCGGTATGTTCTAAACATGTCTCAACTCTTTTGGCTTCTAAACAGACCTATAGGCTTGATTAGAAGTCGTTCCGCAGATAGAACAAGCAGGCAGCTCATGTTCAGGTAAGAATTTTCAAGCATCTTGAATCGTAAACACCCAATTGATAACTCGCAAACTATTGCAGAAAGATAGAAACATCAAAATATATGAGGTTCCAATAAGATATCTTGGGACCCAAGAGATCGGAGAGTTTTGTTTGCAGCTGTAAGCGAGTCCACAGTCTAAGCCAAGGCGAAGAAATTGGAAAAGCTTAAGGACGTTAGCCACAGCATGTAGAAATGATAGATCAATTGAATATCAGGAAAAACAGTTTTAGTACACAAATGATCAGATTTGTGCAAAGATTTAATTAAGTGCTCAGTTCACCTCTATCAATAATTTATTTCAAATGATAGTTTGTAGGCCGCCCATGTTGGGCAAATAAGCTCATGTTTAACAAAAGTAACTGCAAAAGGCAGTTACTTGTATTTTAGTGGGATCTAACTTCCAAATGGGGGTTGCGTTGTTTTCTTCTGAAAAAAAGAGACAAGAAGAAGGCAGTAGACGAATAACAAGAACTACGACTAAAGATTGAACAAAAAAGGAAGAACTCTCTTTCAAGGCTGTTGCAAAAGGCATTTAATATGGGGACATAAGGAATGTTCGTAATTGTAATATACCCAGTTTGATCAATGATACATGAATTTCCTGGGCATGTTTCTCAAGTGTATAATTGGGAATTTATTTCCAACATTGCGTAGAATGCGAAATTTGTTTCCCAACATTGGTATCGAAGCCAGGTTATGATTTTTTTGTTTTGATGTCAAGTTTTTGCTTATTGTTTGATAAGTAGATCAGTAGTACTGCCCTGAAATTGCTGTATGGATAGTCATTATGAACCTGGAAATTAGAAGAGACTCGAAGTTAAAGACAACTGTACCGGTTGAATCTTTCTCGAAATTATTTTTTCGATGAAAATTGTTTTTGATCACATAGGGTGATAGATCTCATCAAGACGAGCAAAACAGTAGGTAGCTCGCCTCTGGGGAATGTTGCACGCGCCCCCACGCGTGGCCACAAGTCATTGTTTCGTTGTCGGCGTGTGGCATGCACACGTGCGCAGTAAACATAGGCGCGTGCGTCGCACACATGAGCGGTAATAGCAGGCACGTGCGCGTGCTGTTCAAGGTTCACACCTACGTAGCGGTACAAGCACGTGCACGCGCCTGTTGCTCGTCTCCGCAAAATTACGATTCTGCCCTTCATTTTTTTTAATAATTAAAAAAATTAATAAAAAAACCCAATTTTTTGTTGTATCATGGATTATGAGTAATCCTTTTTAATATTATGTATTTGTTACAAAAACGATGGTATGAATCATTCGCACTCCCAAAATACCGAGGACGAAGGCACAAAAATTGAACCTTTTAAGATTAAGAAAAGAGTTGGCCGTTTATTGATGGGATGGTAATGTTAACATGTTGGAACATGTTATCAAGGTCAACAAAATAATACAACATATAATTTGGAGAGGTTTCCTTACGAAAGATGCTGACAAAGTCGATGCCTTGTCAGATACCCTTCTTAAAGAATGGCAAACAATCATTGATGATCTTTGGGAACTCGACGAATGTCCACAATATGATATTCTTGTGGAAGCTTTTCTGAAATAGTATATTAAGATTGGGGCAACGAAGACATCAATGCTCGCGATGAATTCGACCTGGCACAGATTAGTGCGTCCAGCAATGGTCTTCTCTTGGCTACCAGTTTCAACCATAGAATTTCCTATGGACTTCTATGAGTCTATCCCCACTCTTGTGAAGATTTATGAATATTGAGGTTATTTCTTTAGGACTTGTTGTCATTAGTGAATTTTTTTTATTTTTATGTTGATATTTTCTTTCTTGTTTGTCTTATGCATTGTTTATGAGATATTTAGTTGTGAATATTCAATAACAGTATTTTAAATTGATGTTGGTTTATTCATGGTATATTATAATTGGGAAGTTCTAGAAAGTTTTAGTAACTTTAAAGAACTTAAATTTGCATATATAATTATATTGATGAAAATTTCAAATTAGGATTCGTAGATGATGATTAGGAACATAGTGACCTTTTAAATCTAAAACCTTATATGAAATTGCTCATTAATGTAATTAGTTTGTGTAAAGTTGATGCATTTATGTTAGGCATCAATAATTCGTGCAAATATGTCTAAAGAACTTTGTATTCAGATTTTATGGCTTCAGCATTTAAGAATATTGTAGCTGAGCTCAACAAAGAAGAGAAATTGAACGGCGAAAATTATGAAATTTGGAATATGAAAATCTAGTATGTGCTTGAAGAGCAAGAAGCACTAGAAGCTCTTAATCTAGTTATGGAAGAACCTGAAGATGGAAATAATACACAACATAAAAGGGATAAAGAAGCATTTATTGCATGGAAGAAAAGGAACTCTATTGCTCGCATTACATTGCTGAGTAGTATGGAAAATGATATCATGCGAGACTTCAGGCGTTTTGACAATGCTAAAGACATGTGGGTAGCATTAGCAGCTAGGTTTGGTTAATCATTTGTTACTAAACCGAGACAACTCACTATAAGGTTTGACTCCTATAAGATGCCTCATGGACAAACCATGAAACAATATTTGAGATGTATGTTAAACATGATTGATGAACTGAAAGATGCTGGCCACATATTAACTGATGAGCAGCAAGTGCAAGCAGTAATCCGTTCTTTGCCTCAAAGCTGGGACCATATGAAAGTCCACTTGACCCACAATGAAAACATAAAAACTTTTGAGGATGCTATGCTCTATCTTGAGCTAGAGGAGGATCGCCTTTTGGCTACTAAACTAGAAACTGACATTTATTTTGCTGGTTCTAGCTCATAAGGGGCTTCAGGCTTCAAGCGTAAGCGTCATGGTGGGTTTAAGAAGTGGAAGGGCAATGAAGCAAATTCTTCGGGGAAGAAACCAAGGTTTAACCAACATGGAAAAGGAAAGCATCCTTTAAAAAAGAACATCTCAAAAGTGAAATGTTTTAACTGTGGAAAGAAAGGTCACTTTGCTTCTGACTGTGACGAGCCAAAGATGGTAGAAACCCTTTGTACATTTGAGAGTACTATTTATGTTTCTAGTTCGATTTTTCTAACTGAATCTCATCTTTCGTGGACTGTAGACTTAGGGGCCATAGACCATGGAGCGAAGGATAGAGATACCTTCATGGAGTTTCGATGAGTTCCACAAGGAACAAAGTAGATATGTGTGGGAAACAATTCCAGACTGGAAGTTAAAGGGATTGGCGCCTGCTAATTGAATATGCATGGTGGTCACACCTTGTTCCTACATAATGTATTATATGCTCTAGAAATTCGTCGGAACTTAGTTTTTATGTTGGTTTCAGTTAAGCTTGGTTTTAAATTAAACTTTCATAATAATGGTGTTGACTTGTCTATGGGAACAAGTAATTATGGTTCGGAATATTTTCTAGATGGTTTCATTGTATTGAATATCGACTTAGAGATGTTGATGTTTGTTATTGCTTATTTACATCTTCTAACTCTCATGATAATGATGTGAATATATGGCATGCTAGACTGGTCATATTGGCCAACAACGAATAGATTAACTAAGAATGGAGGTTAAATACCAATGTCCAATCCAATCTCATTTTGTACCAATCATGACACCCGACCATGTCTCGAGTCCTCAATTTGTTGTGTAATAAACACCTGACGAGTTACGGGTTTTCATTCCTTGTTCTTAGATTAGCTCGCCTTTCAATTTCATTGAGTGTTTATTTTACGCTCTGTCTTTTCAATACATTGCTTGTTAATTTTCTATTTTCTTAGGGTTAGTTTAAAATCATAAATGAAAAAGCACAAAAACAAGATGCATGGACATTTAGGCTGCGCATGACAACGATTCTGTGCCCGGGAACAGATTCTGCTCAGAAATGATTCTTTTTTATTCTGTGCCCGGAATTGATTCTGAGCATTTTAAGGCGTTTGTTAACTGTCCAAAAATTCCATCCCTGGAATAGAAAAAGAACAGAAATGCGTTTGGTAACGCCACAAAATTTCTTTTTATTAATAATATTTTTTATTAAAATATTTTTATTTTTTTTGGCCATGGCCTGGTCGCCGGTCATGGCTAGTAAAATAATTTTTTTATTAAAATATTTTTATTAAAAATATTTTTTTTTCTTTTTTTTGGCCCTGGCCTGATCGCCGGCCATGGCCTGTAAAATATTTTTTTTATTTAAAATATTTTTTATTAAAATATTTTTATTAAAAATATACATTTTTATTTTTTTTTGCCATGGCCTAGTCGCTGGCCATGGCCGGTAAAATATTTTTTTTATTAAAATATTTTTATTTTTTTTGGCCATGGCCTGGTCGCCGGCCATGGCTAGTAAAATATTTTTTTATTAAAATATTTTTATTAAAAATATATTTTTTTCTTTTTTTTGGCCATGGCCTGATCGCCGGCCATGGCCTGTAAAATATTTTTTTTATTAATAATATTTTTTATTAAAATATTTTTATTAAAAATATACATTTTTATTTTTTTTTTGCCATAGCCTGGTCCCTGGCCATGGCCGGTAAAATATTTTTTTTATTAAAATATTTTTATTAAAAATATATATTTTTTCTTTTTTGCCATGGCACAGTCACTGCCATGGCGTAAAATATTTTTATTAATAATATTTTTATTAAAAATATATTTTTTATTTTTTTGGCCATGGCACGTCGTCGGCCATGGCCGGTAAAATATTTTTATTAAAATATTTTATTCTCGTCAGATCCGGCGAGGGCGGTCCTTGGGCCGAACATTAAAAGCTACATTAAAAACCAAGAAAAGGAAGAAGAAAAAAAAAATTGATTCTCAAAATTGTTCCCAGAATCAAGAAGCTACTTTTTTTTTATTCTTGAAAATTGATTCTGGGAACAATTTTTGACAAAATTGTGCCCAGAATCAAAAAATTAAACAAACGCATTTCTGTTCCCAAACTGATTCTGGGAACAAAAGAACAGAATCAAACACTGTTTGGTAAGTTGTCATGCGCAGCCTTAGTGGATTAAGACTTGACATAACAATGGTAAACTCAAATATATGGCCATTTAGATAACAGCCAAACAAGTTAGCGGTACCGAAAGGGCGTTAATGGAAACACTAATGTAACCTAGTCCTCGAACTAGATCTTCGGTTTCATAAGAAATTGAAGTAAAATTCCTGCGTTTCGATTGTGTATTCTAACCAACTCCCAACAAAGGCTAGTGGCGACTCCTAATTGATAAAAACATAAAAAAATGATCCCGTGTCATGCGAGGCATGGATTAAAAGGGAATCCATGTTCATGGTTAGTGAACCTTATGGATGAACCAAAAGAATGATGTTTTTTTGAGCCATTTTTTGGGATATGCCATTTGGAACATTCCCATGAATAATTACCTCTAAATTTACATCGAGGGGTAGGTGGCGACACCATTATACGAATCTTCGTGACAAGCCAGCGAAAACGAGTCTCTCTCATAAAGAATTGATGGCCAAGCAGTAGACAACTTGAAATTTCCTCTTGCTTTGCGCCACCAAAGTGAAAAGTCATTCTTGTCGCGTGATATTCTTAGATGGAGGAAGGCAAAACAAGAAACGCAAATTAATTATTGGTTGTCTAATTTTTTTTCCTTTCCCAATACCAAACTTTGGCGCGGACAAAAATTAATAACATGTCACTCGATTCTTATCCCATGTCCGAGTTCCCACTCCCCTTAGCGTAGTTTAGGACCCGACGCGGTCTTGGAATTATATATATATATATATATATATATATATATATATATATATATATATATATATATAGTTGCAAATTTAACAGATATTGACTTTAAGGACCCTATAGTCTAAATTATGGGCTCAAATCCACATCGGTGGACCCATAGTTTTGGGACTTTTTATGGACCTAAATCGAAAGGTATGCTGGGGCTAAAATGAAGTCCAATCTAAGGGGTGCTTCTCAGGAGCTCCTTCTCCATTGACCATTGACATTTCAACATGATCTTCGTGACTAGTCAGCGAAAACGACTCTCTCTCTCTCTCTCATGAAGAATTGCTGGCCAAGCAGTGGCTAAGTTGAAATTTCCTCTTGCTTCGCGCCACCACAAAGAATAATGAAAAGTAAAAGTTTTAATTCTTGTCGCTTGACGTTCTTAGATGGAGGAAGACAAAACAAAGTATGGCGCCATCGAATTTCCAACAAAAGAAACAAGCGGATCAGATTCGATCGGATAGAGTTTTCCCTCGACAAATTCTTGAGGTCCATTGGCCATATGATCTTCGAGGTACTAATCGAAACTAACTCCGCGGCAGCTCGAGGTTTAGTGATTTTCGTGCATATTCTACACAGTCGAAAACAGAATCTCACGTGCCGATATAAACAAGAACCCACCAAATGAAGTTGAGAATGATCACCTGGGAATGCTACCTAAAGAACGTACCTGGGTGATTGCAGGGACGAGCGTAGGGTTTGTCGCGGCAATAACACGTGAAACTAGATGATGGCGAAGAGGAGTTGCTACCGCAAAACCCGCCAGAAGAAGCACATGCGGAGCACTCAGGTTGGTCACTATACTGAACATCGAACCCTTGATTCAGAGCTTTCAGCAAGCTGATATTGCCTCTTCCGACATCATCAAGCACGCTCCGAAGAACGGGAACCTTGATGCTCGTGAGGCAGCTGGTGACGTCAAACGGGAGCTGTCCGTTCAAGAAGACATCGTCCATATAGAAAGCTGACTTCCTGAAGTCATCGTACAAGCACTCGAACTCGTTGCTTATGTTCTTCCACGTGCCATAGCATCCATAGAAGATGCTGAGGCTCTTAATGGCTGGGGTCATATGAAAGAGGGTGGAATCCATCATGCGAGTATTCACAAACTCACGCAAGCACGTACTGTTCATTAGATCCGTCCTTGTGATCCACATAGTATGAAGATGTTAATCAATCTTGAGGACTCGATACTTCTGCTCTTGGTACTCAAGAATAGGGTACTCGTCCTCAGAGCACTTGACCTTGAATCCTTCAAGTCCACAGAATTGGGGTCGATCGCCTCCCCAGAAAGGATAAGTTAGATTTTCGACGGTTCCGCAATTAAAAGAGCGGCAGCATTCAGTATAGTGGACATCGTCGTCTCCCTCGCACAAAAGAACTCGTGGAACGATGAGGGTGACCAGGACGAAGACGAGGATGGAGTGTGAAGTGAAGGAGAGAAGGAGAATGGCTGCGTCACCCATTTGAGTAAGTTCACGCTCTCACGGGTGCAGAATATCATGTGGAATGAAGGTTTAGAGTTCAGAGAGGCATGCTGAGGATGGAGAAATTCTTTTCTTATTCACTTTCTCCAAAGACTAAAGTGTGAAAGAGATGGATCTGGTTAATTCTTCTAAGTATAATATATAAAAAAAACTATTCTGACCGCTGACTTTGACCGAGACCAATTTCAGTCTTCTGACATTTCGCGAAGGTGATGATGAAGGAGTGGCCAGGAAAAATGCAAAGCAATTTCCTCCGGATTTCTTCCCATGTAGTTGAATTTGAAGAGTGAAGAACTTTTTTCTAGGTTCCCACATGTGAAAAAGTCTGGCCTATTTGAGGGGTCAAGAGTCCACGTTATGAGTAGTAAAGAACAAGTCAAGTTTTAGGTTAACTGACTTATCGGCTAATGCACTACTCCCATTTGAATTACTCTTCCCTGGTGTGAAAGTTTACGGTGAATTTGGATCTTCACTCGATGTATTTAAATCGTTGGATCTTTGGGGTCACAGATACCGACCTTATGATCAAACGATTAAGGCAAGAAAGGTTGCAGAGGATGGGATGACAGAAGTTTTAAAACTAGGAGTCTAAATTGTAACCTTATCGATGACTGCATTTCATTAGAGGGAAGGGTATGCCCAGCAAATTGAGATTGTGAGGCTCTAGGGGCATGAGCGGGTTGTTTTCCAATTGACAAGCAAAGGGATGGTTACGCCCAGCAATCCATCTCACTGAACAGCTTTAGCTAATTAAAAACCACATAACAGGTGAGAGTAAGCATACATACTCGCAGGGAAGCTTCCCGAAACTCGCTTTCCGTTGCAGGTCGGTGAATAGGCTCCATTAAGACAGAAGCAATTGAATCGTTTCCTTTCCCAGTTATACCCACATATTCCCCCCGATTCAGTGCAATTGTCGCACTGCGTTGTGTCGGCAATCCAGGTGATCTCAAAGCCTTTGTTCAGTAACTCACTAATAGTAGCACCAATAACAGTAGTACCATGGTCACCGCCCTCCGGTGGTGGTGTTGGTAGACCTGGAGCTTCACTTAGTGAAATTGGAACAAGGACAATGAAGTTGCATAGCTTGTGTAGCACTGTTTCACAGAACGGATCAAAAGCAAAGTAGCCATCTCTAGACAGGGGACAAGGGAACCGATCATAAAGTTGGGGGGTCGATGATGAGTTGCAACCGTAGAATAAGGTGAAATTGAAGTACTGGGAAGCGTAGTCAAAGAGACTGAAGTTTAAAGCAGTGTCCACATATTTTGGAAGACATATATCGTCTGATAAATCCGACCTCTCCACCTTGAGGATTTTTGCACTCCTATCTATGTGGATCACACGATATTCTAGGGACTCCATGGACAGGGTAAAGTTATCTCCGTCACAGTCGAGCTCGTAGCCTGGATACCCATAGTAACTTGGTTGCGTAACATGCTTGAAAGGATAACTGAGTTGTTGATCTCCGCAAACAAAAGGATCGTAATCTAAGAACGGCCGGAATTCGCAAGAAGCTGGAACCAGGAAGTGAATATGGACTGAGATGAAGAAGAGCAAGGAGAGGGAGGACCACGACATGGTAAGATCCATCCGAAGGGAGATGGTGTGTGGAGCAAAACAAGGGATGGTACATGTAAAAAGGAAGAGGATGCAAGAGGGATAAGAACAATGATGCTTTTGGGGAACGACTTGACGCCAATGCACTAAAATGAGAACCTCTTGACTTAGTCATCCGAAGATCAGGACTTTGGCGCCCGCGACAAAAGCTAAAAAGGAGGAGGAGAAGAAGGCATGTGGAAACCAGCCAATTAGCTTGAGCTGATGGCTAATTGTAAACTTGACTTAGGAGGAGTTGGACTCCTACACAACAATTTCCACACGCAGCCCCGCCCAATCAAACGAGCTTTGCTGATCTCGTTCACGATTCACTTGAGGACACTTCATAAGGACCTCAAGAAATAGTTAGCAGCGTTCTAGATAGGCGCAGGCCCATCGCCTAAGACTAGAAACAGAAGTGGGATGGGAGCCTAAAAAACTGAGGCTAACCTTCATCTGGACGAGTTTCTCTAACTGTGACTGATGATATTTGGTAGGAATAAGTGCATTGGTAGTCTTAAAATTTATCGTGAAAGTACAATTGAGTTTTAAAATTTTAAAAGAGTACAATTAAGTCCTCAAACTTGTCGGGAATGTCTAATTTAGTCCTAAAACTTTCAAAAAATGCATATATATTTTTGGAGATTCGTTTGAACATGATCTATGAGCCTCAATTATTCATTTTGGCCTCGTATTGCGCATCATCCGAAAGAGCCTGATAGACTAAGTTGGTGAAGATGAAGACAAGGACCGATTGGCGACAATTAGCTCCACACATGAAGTTTTGGAGATTCATTTGGACTGGAAGGAGGCGGCAGAAAATGTCATCCATGAAGAAAGCCGACTTCCTGGAGTCGTTGTAGAAGCACTCGAACTCGTTGTGTTTGTTCTTTAACGTGTCCAGACATCCATAGAAGATGCTGAGGCTCTTAACGGCGGGGTTCATATGGAAGAGAGTGGAATCCATCATGCTAGTATTTCCTAAACTCACGCAAGCACGAACGAAGATGTTGATCAATCTTGAGGACTCGGTACTTTTGCGCTTGGTACTCAAGGATAGGGTACTCGTCCTCAGAGCACTCGACCTTGAATGCTTCGAGTCCACAGAATTGGGGTCAATCGCCTCCCCAGAAAGGATAAGTTAAATTTTGGACGGTTCCGCAGCTAAAAGAGCGGCGGCATTCGGTACAGTGGACATCTTCGTCTCCTTCGAACTCATGCGACGATGAGGACGAAGACGAGGATGGAGTGCGAAGGGGACGAGAGAAGGAGAGGGGCCGCGTCACCCATTTGAGTAAGTTCACGCTCTCATGGGTGCATAATGTCATGTGGAATGAAGGTTTAGAGTTCAGAGGGGCATGCTGAGGATGGAGAAATTCTTTTCTTATTCACTTTCTCCGAAGATTGAAGTGTGAAAGAGATGGATGTGGTTAATTCTTCTAAGTATAATATCAAAAAAACTATTCTGACCATTGACTTTGACCGAGACCAGTTTCAGTTTTCTGACATTTCGTAAAGGTAATGAGGAAGTGATGAGGAAGGAGTGGCCAGGACACATGCAAAGCAATTTCCTCCGGATTTCTTTCCATTTAGTTGAATTTGAAGAGTGAAACTTTTCTCTAGGTTCCCACTTGTGAAAAAGTCTAGCCCATTTGAGGGGTCAACAGTTCATGTTATGAGTAGTAAAGAACAAGTCAAACCTAAATTTTTATGTTAATTGACTATTCGGGTAAGGCATTCCGATCTAGATTACTTGTATTAAAACCGTTGGATCTCGTGGGTTCGTAGATACCAACCTAATGATCCAACAGTTGAGGCAAGGAAGGCTGTTGAGAACGGGTGATAAAGTTTTTAGGATGCGGAGTCTAAATTGTATCATGACCATGCATAGCGAGGATGAGATGACTGCACTTCATCATATGAGAGGGAAGGGCATGCCCAGCAAAATGACATTGTCAGGCTTTCAAATGCATGAGCGGGGCGTTGTCCAATTAACAAGCAAGCCCAGTATCCCTCACATGGAAGAACATTAGCTAAATGAAAACCAGATATTAGGCGAGGGTAAGCATACATACCCTTTTGGTCGCAAGTCGTTGAATGGACTCCATCGGCGCAAAAACAATTGAATTTTTTCCCTTTCCAGCCAAACCCGCATATCCCCCCCGATTCAGTGCAATTTTCGCACTGGGATGTGTCGGCAATCCAGGTGATCTCAAAGCCTTTGTTCAGCAACAAACTAATAGCAGCACGATTAATAGGAGCACTAACAGCGCTGTCCTCCGGTGGTAGTGGTGGTAGAGCTGGAGCGTCATCACTCTGTGAAATTGGGACAAGGACACTGAACTTGCATAGCTCGTGTGGTGGGTTTGCATGGTCCACATCAAGAGCAAAGTAGCCATCTTGAGATTGGGGACAAGAGAATCGATGAGATTCAGGGACCGGCGATGAATTGCAATCATAGAATACGGTGGAATTGCGGTCATTGAAAGTGTAGTCGAAGAGAATGGAGTTTAAAGTGGTGTCGACATATCTTCCAAGACATATATCGGCCGATAAATCCATCCTTGCCACCTCAAGGATCTTCGTGCTCATAGTCATGTGGATTACCCGATATTCCAGGGACTCCATGGAGAGAAGGGTCAGGTTATGTCCGTCACAGCCGAGCTCGTAGCCGGGATACCCACAGTAACTTTTTTGCTCTTTATGCCTGAAAGGATAGCTGATTTGTTGATCTCCGCAATGAAAAGGAGCGCACTCTTGGAACGGCTGGAATTCGCTGGAAGCTGGCAAGAGGAAGTGAATATGGAGGGAGATGAAGAAGAGCAAGGAGAGAGAAGAACACGACATGGTAAGATCCATCCGAAGGGAGATGGCGTTGGGAGCAAAACAAGGGAGGAGGGTGCATGTAAAAAGGAAGAGGATGCAGAGGGATAAGAACAATGCTGCTTTTGGGAGATGACTTGACCCCCAATGCACTAAAATGAGAACCTCTTTGTCTTAAGTCATCCGAAGACCAAGACTTTGGCGCCCGAGACAAAAGCTAAAAAAGAAGAAGAAGAAGGAGGAGGAGGAGGCACGTGGAAACTAGCCAAGCAACTTGAGCTGTTGGCTAATTGTATACTTGACTTTGGAGGACTTGGGCTAGTATTCCGCATCGTACAATTCCTTCACGCGGCAGCCCCGACTAATCAAACGAGCTTTGCCAATCTCCTTCCATCAACAAAAGAACTCATGGGACGACAAGGACGAAGACGAGGATGGAGTGTGAAGGGGAGGAGAGAAGGAGAGGGGCTGCGTCACCCATTTGAGCAAGTTCATGCTATAATGGGTGGAGAATATTATGTGAAATGAGGGTTTAGAGTTCAGAGGGGCATGCTGAGAATGGAAAAATTCTGTTCTTATTCGCTTTCTCCGAAGACTGAAGTGTGAAAGAGATGGATGTGGTTAATTCCTCCTCAGTATAATATAAAAAAAAAACTATTCTGACCGTTGACTTTGACCGAGACAAGTTTCAGTCTTCTGAAATTTCGTGAAGGATGGAAATCTAAAAGATGGCTATCGAACGTTGAAACTGGGTCTGGGGTTGGAAGTGATGAGGAAGATGTGGCCAGGAAACATGGGAAGAAATTTCCTACGGATTTCTTCCTAAGCAGTTGAAATTGAAAAGTGAAACTTTTTTAATGTTCTCACTGCGAAAAAGTCTAGGCCATTTGAGGGGTCAAGAGTCCATGTAATGACAAGTAAAGAACAAGTCAAACCTAAATTTTAGGTTAATTGACTTATCGGCTAACGTATTCCGATCTAGATCACTTGTCCATGACGTGAAATTTTACAGTAAACTCGGAGCATATTCAATCGATGTATTTAAACAGTTGAATCTTGGGGGTCGCAGATACCGACCTAATGATCAAACGATTAAGGCAAGGAAGGTTGTTGAGAATGGGGTGATTAAGTTTTAAAACTCGGAGTCGAAATTGTAACATGATCATGTCGTAGCGATGATGAGATGACTGCACTTCATTGTATTAGAGGGAAGGGTATGCCCAGCAAAAAGAGATTGTCAGGCTCTAGGGGCATGAGCAGGTTGTTTTCCAATTAACAAGCAAAGGGAAGGTTATGCCCAGCAATCCATCTCATTGAACGGCTTTAGCTAATTGAAAACCACAAAATAGGTGAGAGTAAGTATACATACTTGAAGGGAAGCTTCCTGGAACTCGTGTTCCGTTGCAGGTCGGTGAATAGGCTCCATCAGTGCAGAAACAATTGAATCGTTGCCTTTTCCAGTCGTACCCGCATATTCCCCCCGATTCAGTGCAATTTTCACACTGCGCTGTGTTGGCAATCCAGGTGATCTCAAAGCCTTTGTTCAGGATCTCACTAATTCGAGCAGCATGATTAATAGGAGCACCAAAATCGCTGTCCTCCGATGGTGGTGGTCGATCTGGAGCTTCATCACTTTGTGAAATTGGGACAAGGACACTGAAGTTGCATAGCTCTTGTGGTAGGTGTTCAAGGTCCACAACTGGAGCAAAGTAGCTATCTCCAGACGTAGGACACGAGAACGGATAAGATCCAAAGATCGGCGATGAATCGCAATCGTAGAATAAGATGGAATTGAGGTCACTGGAAGTGTAGTTGAAGAGACTGGAGTTCAAAGTGGTGTTGACATGTGCTCCATGACATAAATCGTCCGATAAATCCTTCCTTGCCACTTCAAGGATCTGCATGTTCGTATTCATGTGGATTACCCGATATGTCAGGGACTCCATAACCAGGGTTGGGTTATGTCCGTCACATCCGAGCTCATAGCCTGGATATCCACAGTGAGTCGGTCGCTCATTATGCCTAAAAGGATAGCTGATATTTTTATCTCCGCAAACGAAAGGAGCGCACTCTCGGAACGGCAGGAATTTGCCAGAACCTGGCACCAGGAAGTGAATATGGAGGGAGATGAAGAAGAGCAAGGAGAGGGAGGAACACGACATGGTAAGATCCATCCGAATGGAGATGGTGTTTGGAGCAAAAACAGGGGAGGAGGGTGCATGTAAAAAGGAAGAGGATGCAAGAGGGATAAGAACAATGCTGCTTTTGGGGAATGACTTGACCCCCGATGTGTGAACCTCTTTGTCTTAAGTCATCCAAAGACCAAGACTTTGGCGCCCGAGACAAAAGCTAAGGAGAAGGAGAAGGAGAAGGAGGAGGAGGAATCAAGTGGAAACTAGCCAAGCAGCTTGAGCTGTTGTATAATTGTAGACTTGACTTGGGAGGACTTGGACTAGTATTCCGCATCTTACAATTCCTGCACACGGCAGCCCCGACTAATCAAAGCAGCTTTGCCCATCTCCTTCAAAGATGGGCTTGCAGCGTTTTAGATAGACTAGAAACACAGAAGGGGATCGGAGCCTCAGCAGAACTGAGGCGGCTAAACTGTCATCTGGACGAGTTTCCGTAAACTTTTGCCCGATGATAAATCAGCCCCCAGAAAAAGCAACTTGGTTAAAGATCAGTGGATGGCAAAGGGCCATGGCTCCTGGGTCAAGCCGAATCGGGCCCATCTCTCGTGATTCACGTTGATGAAGATGGTGACCCACATTGGAAGCAATAACTTGCCACCATTTTCAATTACAGAAAATTGCTAAGGCTCATAAATCGCTCAGGCCTCAAGTATTATTGAAAATAATACTTTTTTTAGGTACCAATTCCTAGGAGGAATATGATCAAAGGCAATAACGCGGCAAGCGGAGACTGTGTTTCTTATTTTATTGTGCCGGTGCTCCCACGTCTTGCTCCTCTCAATTTCTCATATATCTTCGTCTTTTTCAAGAGGAGGAAATACCCTCTGTGTGTTTTACATCTAAGATATGTTGAAGCAGTTTAACCTCTTGCTTAGGAGGATTTTACTAAAATCTTACGGGTGTTAACCTAGCCACTATCTTTATCGAGACATGAGAGCTGCCTCTACCCCCTATTATTTTTATGTCCTCGGAGTACTGGGACCTAAGACTCAACTGGAACTCCCCGCCATAAGGAGTTGTTCAGTTCCGAAAGACAATTATAGCAAGAAAGGAGAAAAGACATCTTTCTGAAAAAGAAACCACCACATTTCCGTAAGACTATATTTTAAGTTGCAACCAATTGATAAAACCCACCTTCGAAATTTCCCCAAACAAAAAATATTTATCTCTTCCATTCACTACGTGCAAGTACTTATACTTTATCAATCTCGAGAGAAATTAACTTTAGCTTAGAGTATTAAAGTACTAACATCGCTTGTCTAGGGGATTTTGTATTATCTTTATATACGCGGTCTTCATACACTTATTGTGTTAGATCTTTGAATTAAATTTTGACAAGCTTTTGTATCCCAATTTATTTTCGCGTGGGTCGCCCTCAATTAGTCAAATCCGATTTGTGGTTCTTAATTCGATTTGCGTACAAGAGGGGTATTAATATATCCCACCTCGTTTGTCTATCGTTTTATATTTATACGTGATAGTGATAGTTCTCCACTTTAAATTTTTTTATTAAACATGCACAAGTGGCTACATTTCAAATTTTGGAAAAGCATTGATTAAGAAATTGACCAACCGAGCACATACTTTTCTATATTCTAACGGCTGCGGCAACATCAAAACATATGGCAGAAATCAAATCACACGCAACTAAGAAGTGACAAGCATTGAAAAAGTAAGCATGGCGATTGGCGAACAAAATGCAGAAACCACTTACGAACAATGGCAAAGAAAACTGACAGACACAAACCTCGTTCTTACCTTTGCATGCCGAACCGTCCGCGTGAATCGACTCGTCGTTGCAGAAGCACTGCACCTGCTTGGTCTGGTTGAACGCGCATCGCCCGCCGGAGTGCTCGCACGTGCCGCACTCCTTCGCCGCCTCCCAGTCGAGCACGAACCCCTGGCTCATCGCCCCGGCGAACCGCTCCACCACGTTTGCCGCCGTCACCTCCGTCCCCTTCACCGCCGCCACCACCATCTCCTCGCAGTCCCACACCTCATCGAACGCCGCCTCTTCCTCCCGGCTCATGTTCACGAACACGTACGACCGCTTATCACCGGATAGCAAGCAATCGATGGCCACAGTGTCGATGGGCATCCCCAGAGAAGTGTTACAGTTGAAGAAAAAGGTGAGATTGACGTCGGCGGAGTTGTAACCGAGCGGGAGCGAGCCGATCGTGAGGTTGTGGCGGGCCCTGGGGCATCCCTGGCCGGCTACGTCGGTGACGTTGATGTCGACGAGAGTCAGGGTTTCGTCGTTGTAGTTGATGTCGGTGACGAAGTAGGCGTCGCCCGGAAGATTGAGGATCGGGTAATGATAGCCATACGGGCATTCGAGGCCGAGGCCTGGGTAGCCGCAGTGCACGGGGGGGTGTCGCTGTCATTCCAGAATGGATATCGGACAGTGACGTTGCCGCATAGGAACAATGATGCGGCAGGGTCGCAAATGGTCGAGAAAGCGGAGCGGACGCCATGGAAGCTCACGGAGAAGAAGAAGATGAAGAGGAAGAGCGAGATGGAAGGAGAGGGAGTGCAGAGATGGTGGCGGTTTGGCATTTTACTTGGTTCTTGTCTTGGTGAGGAAGCAGATCGTGGTCTGGCAATATAGAATGGACCGCCTAAATAATAATAATGTGTTTAAAGTCTTACGTTGGCACTCAAGGCTACACAAATTTGACTTTGATATTTCGTTTGCGCGCATCGTTCGAGTAATCGCACGTGGAAAAAATAAAAATTTCTACTAGGCTAATAACGGCTTGCTGTGATCGGAAGTCGCTGGCGTAGAAACAATTTATAATTACACGAGCGAGTAGAATTTTCCATATCGATATCTATGGGCGCTCTATATGCAAGCTCAACACTCGTGGTTGGCTTACCTTTTTTTTTTTTTATTGGTCGAAGTAGCTGGCTTACTTAATTAAGTAAGAAGTTGGAATTGTTTTGTACATTATTTATTCTCATATCGATTTTTCTTTAAAAACAAAGGCATGATTTAGAGCTTGATACACCTTTTCTCTTAAAAACATTTAGAGCTTGATTACGCCTTTTTATAAAAATATTTAGGGAGATTTTATTTTAGCGCAATTTTTCATAATTAAATTTTATAAAGATACAATCTTTAACAATAAAGTAGCAGTGGTCGGCATTTTCCATATTGAGAAATGACAAAGAAGTTCACAGATCTTGCAATGCAAATCTAACGCAAAGACGAAGAAATCACCAGAGAATCGACGGATTTTGAAATTCAAACTCAACAAGCTATATTATCTTTACAGTGTTAGATTTCAATAAGTTCATAACTTGATGGAGTGTGATTCGATAGCTCGTATTGTATAAGTGGCTACAAAGAGATTAGATCTATCAATGGGTGGATCGGGTTTGGTTTGGGTTGGGTCATAAATGGTCCGATCCAAATTGACCAATTAACCCGTTTATGACCCATTTATGCGTAACGTAATTTTCTTGATCCATACCCGACTCATATCCGACCCGACTCGTATTGCTAAAACACTTCCATATTTAACTAAATCTATGAAAATTTATATCCAAACTGAGATGAGAGTGCGGAATGAGTGAGCACGAGATTGAGTGAAGGTGAGAGAGATGAGTTGAGTTTAAATTAGTTGTAAACTTATTTTTGATCCATTTACGATTCATTTATGACCCATTTAATATTCATATTAGACTTATACATATTTATGACCCATTTACTAAATACAATTAATCTATTTATAATCAATTTATTAATATATGAATTAAGAAATGAGTTTATGATCTATTTTGATAAGGCTAAGTGGGATTAAGCGATAAATGATCTTAAATCATTGCGAACAAAATTTCATATGCAATCAAGTACTATAATGGTTGTAGTATATTCAATTTGACCCGTTCAAATCAGCGTAAAACGCTGTACTTTTGAAGTATCTTTTTCTTGCTTTCCTTTTGTTTTTTTATCTTTTTGTTCTGTTTTTGGGATTCGTTTTTGGTTTTGCATGTGGAGGCCAACGAAGCAAAATCCCAAAAACAGCTCACGGGATTACTTTCAGATATGTTTTATTGCTCGAGTTGCGTTAAAATAAACGATGGGCCCCTGGCCTCGACGTTCATTTTGAATATTAAAGCTAGAAAGATAATCAAAGACAGGTGTGATCTTGGCATAGATTCTCTCACTTTTGTCCTTTCGTTGAGGTGATCTCCACGAAACACGACAACTGGAGAGAGTGTCTAAGTCCTACTTTAGACCATCGATTAGGCTCTAAGACAATTGATTTACATTAGGCCTTCTACTTAGAGATGAATTTCACTGGTGGGTTCTTAGAGCAAGGGACGATTACTCAATCAATCCTAAATTTATTGTATGGATATCGATTTCGCACAAAATTTTCAATTTTTCTATTTAGTCATAAACGTTCGTATAAAAATCCATTATAGTATCCAGCGTGGCTGTCCAATCATCACCGGCCGTTCTACATAGCACACTGTCGCGATTTTTGGCGGAAATTAGTTGAAAGGAATATATTGTAAGGTTCCGTTTATTTTGCGGAAATATTTTCCATGAAATATTTTCCGGTGTTTGGCTGAAACATGGAAATGAACTGAAAAATATTTTCCAACGTTTGATATAGAAAATCTGATTTAATTTTTTTAAATAGATATACATTATTCAAGTGCTGGTAACTTGTTGTTGACATCTAAAATCTAATCCATTAGCCTCTTAACCGCCCCCACAACCAGTCGAGGGGCCGCCCGTGGGGAGGTTGCCACACTTCTGCTTGGGTGTATCCAGGGAACCGGGTACCTCGTCCCTAGGGTACCAGGCCCGCCATTAATGGACCCGAGCATGGGCACTTGGATTCCGACTGTGGCCTCGATGAACCTAAGCACGGAAACTGGGATGTCAGGCCTTGGCCACAATAGACCCCGGTTCAGACACCAGGGACTCGACCCTGAGCGCCAAGGACCTAGGCACGGCCTTTATGGACCAAGACCTAAGTGCTAGGAACTAGAGCTCGAGTGTCAGGCACGAACTTTGTGGAATCGAGCCCGGGTGTCGGGGACCTGACCATAGGTAGCGTGATCCCATGCTTGGCCTTTGTGGACTAGGGCCCGCGTGTCAGGGCATTGAGCATGGGCACCGAGGTTCCCTACTCAACCTTGATGAATCCAATTGGAGGGACCTGGGCCCTAGCACCAAGTCCCAACCCCGACCTTGATGGACCCGAGCGTGGACGCCAGGGACCAAGGCACGAGCACCAGGGGTTACGGGCTCAACCTCAATGGACTTGGCTTGGGCGCCGGAGACCCGATCCCGAATGCCAAGAACTCGAGAACCAACATTGGTGTTTCATTAAAATCAACGTTGGCTTGGGCTTGGACTTGGCTTGTAAGTATTTTCATTTTGACTTGTTCAAATCAGCACAAAAATATT